AGGGAGTAGAGAAACTCGGGCAGCAGCTCAGCAGTAGCTGAAGTGTCCAGAAAATATTTTAACTTTTCACAGTGTAACACCTAAAACTAGACTATCCTTATTCATCAAGTATGTACTGGATTTCAATTAATATGAACAAAACTTTAAAAAAAAATCAATTCAACCACATGATTTTAGAGACACTTTTAATACTTATACAAAGATTTTGTTTCAACTCTAGTGAATTTTCATATTACAAGGGTTCAATAAAGGTACTAATTGCAATGTTATCTCAAGGAAGGTCAGAGATAGAAAATCCAGGCAGACCTCAATTTAATTTTTTTTTAAATGTTCTCGAATTTTAAAAATCTTAACTTTGTTCACTGAAGCATCACTCTCACAGCTGTTAGATATTGAATATACAACTGTAAACTTCTAGTGTAGAAGGATGATGGCCTTTTAGATTTAAACATAAGATCTGAATTACTAACCAAGTCCATTACAAACTGAGTTTTGCTTTAGCATTTTTTTCTGGTATATACCACCATCCAATAGCATCATTCTGAAATGTGCTCTTGAATACAAACAACATTCACTGTTAGTTAAGATCTCTAGCAGATTGTTTCCATCCCAAAACCAATACACCCCAGAATCCTGTCAAACCCTATGCATGCAATATGCAGAAGCAACCAGAACAGAGAAGTGAATTTCTGTCAACTTAGCATCACTTGTTTCTCCAACAACTGTACAGCAAGACTCTACAAACATCATGTCCATTATAATAATGTGTATTTGGGAGGGGAAGCCTTGAAGATGGTTGAAACCAAGAACCATAGGAAAATAGTAAAAGGAGATTTGTCAGAGCACTTCCATTTGAAAAATCCTGTGTTTCAGGTACTGGCCCCATGCAGAACATGCTGCCAGTCATTGAAAGGTAATAGTGAACAACATTCAGTGCCCACACTGAAATTCAAACATTGCACCATAATCTGCTCTTTCACGGCAGTTTAGGAACCAAAGTGGGCTTAGGGTCTTGAATTAAAACTGCTAAGCGTACTGCCAAATAATTTCATTTCAGAGAATGATATGACAAAATTGTCCTCTCTTGAGGATAATAGATGGGGGAGGGTGGGGGCGGGCACTTCGTGATCCAAACCAAAAACTTATGAGGCACTGCAATTCCTTTACTAACAGACAGCAAGAAGGCTGAAGTAAATATTTAAATAAAATAAGATCACTGATCAAATTACCATGGCAAATGCTGCTTTTCACAGCTACATGCTTAGTTTCAAAAATCACAGGAAGAAGCATACACGACTACACAATCTGAAAAAAGGTGTCTAATTTAAATAACACAGATTTTCATGCTACAGGAGAGCATTACAAAGCTCTAGTCTAACCTATTCAGTGCAGGCTGCTGAACATTCATGCAGACAGCTGGACCAAGTCCAACAGCATCTGACTTAGATAAAACACATCCACAAAATCCTTGTCTGATTGTACACAAAAAGACATTAATTACAGCGAGAGTAAAATAAATAGCACAAAACAAACAACATTTAAGCACAGAGTAGCTACTACAAGTTTATCTTCAGGAGACATGAAGAACACACACAACAAACTTCTTACCATATGACGGAGATTCTCGGCCATCCTCTCTATCAGTTTCTTTTTCTCTTTTTCTTCTGTGGTGCCTGTGCCCACGATGTCTATGCCGTCGACGGCCTGGCTTGCCAAGTGGGACGTGAACTCCGATATACACAGCTCTGTGGCCTTTTCAAGAAAGTTTAAAAGGACAGAAGAAAACAAAAAATTACCTACTGCCCAAATTTAGTATCTACAGACAAGGGGTTTAAGAACTAGCAATCCAAAAGCACATGACAAAAATTACCTTTAGAGAACTAACATGACCATTTCCTTTCTGTCCTTCCAGGATGCCAAGGAACTAGTGCTAGACTCATTTCTCTGATAAATTAGGTCATACTCTTATTCAGTTTAAGAATTCAGTTGTGAAATAAATAATACAGAAGTACAAGGTTGACCTGCAACACTGAAAGAAGCTACTTTATAAAAAATGACATTTTAGTCCTCTTTTTTTTGCAGGGATTCACATCAGGACAATTGTAAGAATGGCAAAATCATCTCCTGGCTCAGCTTATTAACTTCATCAAGAAATTACCCTTTGTTTAGAGTCTGCAAGTAGTTCTCTATCCTTGAAAGAGCTGCCAGTATGTCCTCAAATAGCACGTACCACCTCAAGATGAAACTGATGTTCAATTACACCATTAACTTAGTATCAGGAACATAAAAAGAACTTCTATTTTGAAAGGTATGTCAACACTTCAAATAACTTCCAGACATGTTGGGGTGGGTTTTTTCCTATTAAAACATTTTCTAGAATGTTTTAATAAATTTAGAAGCACATCATCAAATTAATGCATACTGCTCTTTAAGACATGTACTTTCAACATCTTGCTTTTCCTTTGACCTTTGACATCAAGACAATGCCAGCATCAACATCTTAGCAAAATATATCAATCATCTGACTGTTATGAACATATTACTACCATGTCTCCTGTAATGCAGACAGCATATACAATAGGCTTTTCATTGCTATTTAAACAATCTCAGGAAGAGACAAATTAACTACAACACTAAATATTCTGTTACACGGTGTTGAAGAGTTATTACAGAAGACCAACATTAACCAAAGGAAAAGGAAGTGGTCTTCCAGCTCTTAGACAGATGCAAATTCAGCAAATTTACATTATGCAGGCAAGCCTTAGAAATTGTGACTACACATACATGCACACACACACATATATATGTATATATGTGTGTGTGTGTGTGTGTGCGCGCGCGCGCATGTGTGCGTCTAGCACACATAAATATGTTCAAGATTCCTGGTGATTACAGAGCTTTAAAGAAAGAAAAAGTGGCAAGACATCAAGCTTAATTCCCAAAAAAACAATGCCTAAGCCCAAAAAGAAACTGCTTTATAGAAGTTTTGTGTATTTTCACAGTGCTACATGACTAAAAATACAAGCAAAAACCATTATTCACACAAGTTAAGTTCAACATTTAATTAATTTGGTCAAAGATTCCTTTTCACATAACAGGATCCAATTCTTGACACACTTCCAACACTAGTTAATTACAGTTGACTGACTGGCACTACGACCAAATCTGAAATTAAGCATATTAAAAGCTATTTGTTTCCATGTAAGAGTGGAAAAGAGATTAATTTCTTGAAGCACTCATCAGTCCTATTTATAGAAAGAGACTTGTCTTTTGTGAGTTTCTTCCAAAAATACCCAGCCCCTGCCTGGCAGCCTGACCTCTGCCCTCCGTGACTGCTATGCACAGTTCAATTCCCAGAGAAATTAATGCCAATGTGACACCTATAAATCACTGCACTTGGTTTATATATGTAATATGATCAGGGGGCATCATTAACAATGGTCATGTTGCTGATGCATCTTATGCATAGGGAAAGCAAAAGTATGAGGTTCAAAAATAACTGCATTACTCACCACATTCCACTCAAAGCTGAAACTGAGTGAGCCACCACTCACTGCCAGTGCTCTTACTATGCCTGTTAGGGTTTCTGTTTTATTTTATATATTCAATTAGCAAGTATCAAACTACAGTTTATATATACACTCCAACAGTTCTATTTGTTGCCGAAGTGCTGGATTTTTTTGCAGGAACTATTTCTTCCTAAGAGAAACTCTAGCACAGTTCTAGTAATAGAGCATTTTATATAATTGCTTGCTTTAATATTGTTAATATGACAGTTTTAAGCATGTGTTTTGATCACTACACTAATGAAAAAAAAAACCCACTCCAAAAAAACCCACCTTGAAGGAGTCTGAATCTGTTCAGGATTTTACTCCCTGAGAAATAAGGACTTAGATATTTTGGTCTTTCACTGTTCCCACAAATAAGAGACAAAAATACCTCACAGATTTTCCAAGGATCTCCATCTTAAACAATACACATTGCTATTGCAAAAACTGGCATTTGTAATGGTGTGACCATTTCCATAATCAAAGACCATGCTGCTGCATGGAGGAGAGATGGAAATGATGAGTCTATCTCCTTTTACCTAATTGCACTGAGACAGAACTTTTTTTTTTTCCCCAGTAGAAAAGTTTGGAGGAGAGCAGATATGCTACGAAGACACAGCTAAAAGCTATGGAAAACTGAGCTGAAATAAGCAACAAACAGAAGGTGTTTTTAAACAAGCTGTGTCCACAGCAAATGGCTTTTACTATAACAGAGACCACAGAATCATGTCCAGGTGCCTCATAGCTGCCTCAAGCACACCAAGTAGGCACTCCCAACTTCATAACCCAGATGGTCAGTCCACAACCTACATTTTATATTGTTCCACTCCAAAAGGAAGATTAGAAGGAAGCACCTTCCTGCCACCCAAACGATCATTCCACAGAGACAGGGAGCAGTCTAGCCATGGGTTATATCCTGCCCTTCAGCCCACACTGCCCAGAAGTGAATGCTGTGAGACCATTTCCTCACACAGACATGGTCTTGCAGGCAAATGTAAACCAAGAACACCTTCCCCAAAGCACTTCTGTATATGCAAAGTGTTCAGACATGTGCAATGGTATTTTGGGACTAATATGAAATGTCCATGAGCAAATGATTTTCAGCATTTATAAAGTAACATGGATCACAATCCAATGTAATTCCATCAGAATAACTTTAAGAAAAAACCTGATGTTGACAAAAAGCCTCTGAAATATTTTTCAGAGCAAGCAGTGAGGGTGGCAGTACAATAGACTAATCAAGAAAAATTTACCTACAACAAACTGAAGTTTATGAGTGCACCTCACTGTTCCTTAGGAGAAGGGACCTTCATTCTGGTATCACAGCCATAAATAAAGACATTTCAACTACTGTCCAGAAAATCTCAAACTACTGCTCTTGAGTATACTGTCACGATTACCCAAAAACAGGTTACAGACATATTCAACTTCAAATGTGGTACAAAACTACATAATAAAAATTGGACAAGCTTAACTTTGATTCTAACTCAACAAAGCGAAGCATTGAGAAGCCTTCTAAAAATAAGATAGCTGCACTGAGTAGGTCTGCGTCTCCTTGAGTTTCATTATTCAGATAGGAGTAATAATGTTTGCAGACAGACAGAAAAAGATTTACTTATAATTTACAAGGGAAAGGAAAATGAAACAAAACCATAGCCATTTTTAAATTCATTCCCTGTGAATTGGGTGAAACAAGTTATTTTTCAGATTTTGTATTTTTCAGAAAATTTAGTTTGGCCAAAAAACCGAACCTAAACAAAATAAAAAACAGACCATCAAGAAAGGCAATTAATATAAAATTAATATATCATCAGTGAAAGCAATGGAAAGAAATTTAACTCCAAAAAAGCTGGGATTCAAGTTTCTAGCATGGGGTGTTATTTTTACGAGGGACACAACCTTTACTTGAATATTGTGTTTATAAGTTCAAAAGGTACATCATGTGACCTTCAAAGCTTCATTCACGTAAATGTCTGTAGCACAGTACCACTTTCAAACAAAGCTTCTTACAGAATTACTATAAACCAATAATCAATAGAATTAGTAGACTGCCCAATACTAAATTTAGTAATACAAAGCTCAAGAGATGATTGCTCATTTTAATCCAACATGACTTTATCCAAGCTTAGCTGTTCAAATCCACTGAGAGTATTTACTACTTAAGGCCTTTATCAATATGAAACAAACTTAAGTGTTAGGATCTTGAAACGTGTCTCCATCACATGGTTGATCTTCAATCACATGGTTGGTCTCACTCCAAAAGTCAGTTTGTGTAAAGTCCTATAACATTTACAGAAAAGAAAACGCTCTACATTTCCTGATTTCTCCCAAGCTCCTATGAAAAGGGTAATAGAAGATTTCTGAAGTCTGAGAGAGATCAACAAAAATGCCCTGATATCACTAGGCATTCTCTTTTCACACAGAACCATCTTTTTTCTTTGGGTAAATGCCTTTAAAGCTTTATAGAAAGAAGGGCATTGTTCTCCATCTTAACAAGGAAAGGCAAAGGAAATCAAGTTTGTGTCTATGTGGATTCTCAAACCCTCTAACTTAGAAATTTGAACTAAGAGTGATCATATAGTAATGACACATGTAAGGACCATATGGAGGTGAGCTACCTGGTCCAACCTTGCTCAAAGTACAGCCAACTATAAAGCTGAAGCTATGGTTTTCATCAGTTTAGTTAGGATGATAGCCATCCTTCTACTAATTGTAAGGATATATATTCTACAGCCTAGCTAGGCAACCTATACCAACCTATAGCAACACACTACCTGGAAAAAAAAAATCCTAATATCCAACTATCACTTCCAATATAGCATCTTATGTGTGATCCCCCTCACCCTTCCACAACGTACCACTGTGACCTCCATCTTCCCAATAAGCTCTCTGAAAACTAAAACTTTGTGACAAGAATTACTGTTTTTTCTGAAAATCTTCAAATAATGACCTGAAGTTGGATAATTTATTTTATACAGAAGCCTTTTTTAATCAAATAATGTCATAATCTATCTCATTCTAGCATGGAGCATTCCAGTATGGAAAAACTGGTGTATCTGCAAGAGAGATCCTAATCCATTCGTTAAGATCACAAAAGGAGGAAGAAATCCAGCTCTTTGATGTCTGAACTCACATCACCAAATGCATTACCCTAGTAGGAAAGATCTGGAACACAGCATCTCATTCCTTGGTATTAATTTCCCT